TTTAAAAAAATATGACGCTTTTTGGAAAAGAAAATATAGAAAAACACCTATAGTGGTTTGGTCTTCAAGTGAGGAGAAAAACTCCAAGTAGCATGGAAAACTTGATAATACGAGAGACAACCGAGCAGGAACTAGGCTTTAAGACTTGTTCGTGCCTCGAAATGTTTTCGGTTTTATCCTTGTCCCCACTTTAATTATCCTATCCTAATTAACACTTATCCGGGCCATTACCTACTCGGTTTGTGCTTATGTACCCTAACAAACAACAACTAATTTATATTTACAGCCTACTTGTTCTAATCTCATTTGCTAAATACATTTATTTGGGATAATCTCGGATAATTCAAAGTATAATTTATATGGCTCGTAAATTCCCAGAAAGCAAAATATATTTATTGGGGCAGGTACTAAATGTAATTGTAGCGTACCGCTACACACCATTACTGTAAATTTACATATGCATAGATGTAAAATTACAAATATAATTCGCATAAAATTTAAGATTTACAATGGTTACATATATATTTCTGTAAATTTAATGTAATTTTGCTGTAATTTTACATTGATGAGTAAATCAAAATTGTTATATTCTTTACAGATACCTACTGAATATACCAGCACCAATAAACGGTTTAATTTCATTATTAACGTTGCAGTCGTAATTTTTACATTCAATTATATACACCATTACAGTTTTATAATTAAATTACATACTTCTCGAGGTAATTTAGGACATTGACAACAAGTAATCCGATTTAATTGTTGTAATTTTACTGTATTCTGTATCTTTTTAACATATTCAAATTATTATATGCTGTTCAGAACATATTCTGCATTGAAACACATATCATCATTTAGCTGTTTCTTTATAGAAACCTACTTAAAATTCTAAAATACCTTTAATAATTAATTTTATTTCATTATTATCGTTGTAACTGTGTAATTTTTACGTACAACTATGCACACTGTTATAGTTTTATAATAAAATTACTTACTTCTTTGATTAATTACGAATGTAATTTTACATATATTTTTATGGACACTTTACAGTGTACCTGTGCATTTATTCTTGCAATGTAATCTGTGATGACTAAAAAAGCAATTTAGTTTTGTTGTTTTCTTAATAAAAATATTTACATTTTACATATTAGTTTCTACGGGATTGATATGGTTATTGGATATCGACAAAAATATCATCGATACTTTTACAATGACTTCTGATTATAAGTAAAACACTTTTTACAACAGGTTGATGTAAATTTAATGTAATTCTCTCTGCATTTATAAATTTGCTAGTCTTGTGGTGCACGATAATCAAGACTCGATTCCGGACGTCAGACTACTGAAATTACAAAAAATTAACTTTTTAAAGTGTAAATTTATAGAAACCTTCTTAAAATTCTAAATACTACTATTACAGTTTTACGATAAAATTACATACTTCATTGCGTAATTGAGAATGTATTTTTACAGGCACTTACAACTGTGAATTTATATTTCAATTAGAACGCAGGCAACAAGTAATCTATTTTGACTGTTGTAATTTTACTGTATTCTTTTTTGCAATGTAATTTGTCTACGACTCGGAGACAGTGACAATGTAGTAATATTAGTACTGAAACGAAAAGTCTGATAAAGCCTTTTGGAAAAAAATGAGGTAAATTTTCTTTAACGTAGATATAATGTTACAAATATAATTTCCAATAAATTTAAAATTTACAGTGCTTAAATATGATTCCATAAATTTAATGTAATTTCACTGTAATCGTACATTTACTCCTTTTAATAGTTTTGTGACAATCGAGACTATAGTTCGAGATCTCAGATTATCGAAACTGCAAAAAATTACATTTTCAGTGTGTAACTTCAACCGATAAACGAAAAACCATCATTTACCTGTTTTTTATTGGTAGCTACATCCTAAAAATTGTTACTATCACTGTAGTTGTAATTTTCACATCTAATTGTAATTTTACACTAAAATTACCTACTTTTCTAGCCAATTATTAATGTAATTTTACACTCTAAAATGTAACTGTAAATTAACATTTCACTTGAAGTGTTTACAACAAGTCATCAATATTGTTTTACTGTATTCATTTTTGCAATGCAATCTGTATATGATTGAAAAGAGCGGTGACTAATAAATTTAGCTGTGCAAATAAAACGTTTATTTCAAAACGCCACCGAGATATTTTAAAATCCGGATTACATATTGTTATCCGCGAGATTTATATGGTTTTGGAACCCCACACGCTACATCCCAGTAATCATATTTCCACCCAAACCGCCATATACGTTTCAAAACATTTCCCATCGTTCTGTGTGGCTCTCTGTTGTGGCTTTCTTTCGATTCCATTTAAATTCCATGTTGACCCGCCTGCGGTTGCGTGCGAAAATAATTGCTAAACAATGTTATGCATTCTCTCGCTTACGCTGTCCAACTCAATGCATGTACTTTGATCTGACAATGACTATTTAATGAAATATGTGACACTTCATGAGATTCGTAACATATTTATAAGTAAATACTGTTATGATATTCTAAGTTGAAATGTGAAATGAATAAATAGCATAACGTAATGTTGCAAATTTAAACATATTCACGCTAGAAAAATAGAGAAGAACTGACAACAGGGATGTGAAATACTAGACATGAGAAAATGAAGGATAAACATATACAGGTTGTTACAAATTCGCTTCTCACTACAGGGATGTCGGAAACGGTAAGAGGTACGAAGTAGCTTAAATGGGGACAAAGTTGCGTAATCAGGGGACCAACATTATGCCTCTAAAAAATCAAGGCTAACATGATTAATTTTCGAAATATTTGAAAAAAACAATATTTTGGAAATCCGTTTTTATTTAATTTCAGCCTTGTTTGAGGAGATATTGAAAAAGGAAGAACACTTTCTCATGGCCACTTTTTGCCCTATATCGAATGGTATAATCAATTTTTATATGTAACGTTTCGTCTCTCCAGGACCATCATCAACTTCATTTTTTTAAATACGACCCTGGAAATTTTATTACATTTTTGCTAGCTTTCACGACCCCCAATACTGTACTGCCTCAGCCCTAACCAGATTCAGACGTTTTGTCTCGAAAAATTCATCTTCAGTGTATTCGTTCCAAATTTATCTAAATTTTTTATTTAGATTTCTTTGTTTATTGAATTTTCGTACACTGTAAGTGTCATTAAACCCTGTGAAATCCATCTAGTTATTCAAACTATTACCACCACGCAATAAAATAAAACATTAGATATTAGAGTTTTATTTCCGTGTCCATAGTTATTTCTAGGCTTCTCGAGTGCTCAAAATTCAAACAAATTCCAATCTATTTTTTTTTTTCAGGATATCCATACAAATACATCTGACATGCTCTTTGACAGTTGCCGTTACAGATATAATAAATTCCGATAATATTATGCATTATGCTGATCTTCATTTTTAACCTTTGCCAAAACGAAAACGTTTTTGAACATTTACTGAAATTTTTTAAAGAATTAATATTCAGTTGGCGTTTTGGTTGATCAGATGCATTTTTAAGAATTAATTTGTCATAATAAAATTAAAATTGTAACAATGTTTTAATTTTGACTCAACAACTTATTGAGTTATGTATGACCAAGTGATGGTAAGTTAATAATAATAAATGTTCTATTGTAGCGCGTGGTGGAATACACTGAAGATTAATTTTTCGAGACAAAACGTCTGAATCTGGTTAGGGCTGAGGTAGCACAGTATTGGGGGGTCATGAAGGCTTGCAAAAAATGTAATAAAATTTCTAGGGTCGTATTTAAAAAAATGAAGTTGATGATGGTCCTGGAGAGACGAAACGTTACATATAAAAATTGATTATACCATTCGATAGAGGACATCACGTTAGCCTTGATTTTTTAGAGGTATATTGTTGGTCCCCCTGATTACGCAACTTTGCCCCCATTTAAGCTACTTCGTATCTCTTACCGTTTCCGAGATCCCTGTAGTGAGAAGCGAATTTGTAACAGCCTGTAGAACAAGTTTGTTTAATAAAAAGGCAAAATCCTTAAATTAATACATCAATCTGTAAAAATAAACTAAATAATGTAAAATTTTGAATTAAATAGGCTGTAAAAGGCAACAATATATAGTAGAAAGTTAGAAAGTACAACAAAATACAATTCTGTAAAGTCGTGTATCATATAGGAGCATTGGTTTGAGGAAATTTGAAAAAAATTAAGATTTTGACAGATAGATTGACGGAGAGAGGAGTTACACATAAATAAGGTAATAAGTAGAGAGCGGACAATGTGTGACTTTAACCCGAAGAATAGGTCAAATTTTGGTAGAGATGTGTACGCGTTAAAAAATGTATTGTGTATAAACTATGCAAAATAGAATTATTATGTATAGCAAATATATCGTATTATCCTCGCGAAGATTTGTACCCTTTATTTACAATCCGTAAATCATGTGAACAGGTTAAATAACGAGAATATAATTAAGTTAATTCAGTTCTAAAGAAATGAAATGACACTCGCGCCCATCTCTAGTCCATCCATCGACATCGGTTGCGTTTATCGAATTCCTATTGGTCAGAATTCAAACTGCAGCCCTGTTATGAATGGGAGCGTGAGTTGGACTATTCTATCATGTGCTTCGCCTGAGGCTATTCGTTACATTGACTCCTAATTTCCAATTAAAAGAACGACACTATTTTTAATTGAACTTTATTTAATAAATATGTAGTATACAATTTCTGATTTTCTAAATATTTTATAACGCCTAAAAATGTATGTACCGTGAATTATCACGTAAATTTCCGATGCATACCCGACACGCCACTGCGTCATGGGTAATGTATCTAGGTTTATGAATGACATATCTATGTTCAAGGTTAAAGTCACAAATTGTCCGCTCTCTGGTAATAAGGTAATATGGTAAAGGTAATAAGGTAAGTAATAAAGTAATAAGATATATGTATTGAAATTTACAGAAAATTATGTAGAATCTGGATATGTAATTGTCATGCTGCAAAAAATATACATAATGGTATAATTTCCAGTTAAAAAATTTCATAAAACGTCAATATAATGTATCCATAGCAACAGGTTCTTTTGTCTTCAGTTTATCAAAACTAGAACAGGGCTCGTAGGAGTTAGTCTTTCATAATTTGCCAAGCTACAACCATCGTTGAGTTACTCCTAAAATAAACAAAAGCAACTCAAAATTAAGTAAATAAATGGTGAACTTAGTTACCAGTTTTGAAACGTCAAACCACATTCAGAAGTAATCTGCCATCAAATACCTACTGGAAACTTATACCTACAATGGGAACAATTGTTATTTAACCAAAAGCGCAAAGTATAAATTGTCAAATAAAAATTAGTGAAGTGCAGTGAGAAAATACAACGGCAGGTGGAGTGCAAACCCTATTTACCATTGGAAAATCAAGCACATGGAACCAGTTTGACAACCTAGAGTACTTTAAATGGGTCAAAAATGAGTTGTAGAAATATACAGGGTGTTTTTCTTTCAACAAAAGGGGCTTAAGTACTGTAATGTTAATAATATTATTTGAAACACGATAACTGCGTTTATGTAGATTTTCATTATTCAAAATTAGAATGTAATTTCACATCTCGCGCTAACTTTAGAGTTGTTTTATTCGGCCAAGCCCGAGGATCGAACGGAGGAACGCCCGAACACAATGCCGCTATTGGAAACGAATCAATCAAAACATTTATTAAAAACGGCTCGAGAGCGTCCCCCCCCCCGGGCTCGATTCCATTTAAAATTCGGGCGGGACTCGCATCGTCGGTTTAATTCTCCGTTCTCTTTCACAAAAACCCATCAGATACGTGCCCTAATTGAATTTGTCATGGGTTTCTGTACGGCCGTCACTCAACACCATGAATGGGCGTTCTCTCTGGGCCCAGCTAGTTTTTTTCCGGTCGTAAACGGCCAGCGAGTATGTCGATATTGTTGGCCCACATAATCTGGATTTTAATCAGGGGTTTTTGCTGTTTTTTTTTCTCCATGAACCAGCATTCGCCGAATAGTTGTGGTGATTAATTTATGTAGGCAATACGCTGGATTCAATTCGCTGTACATTTGCAAAAAAATTTCTATGACGTTAAATTAAATACGAAGCATTTATATTAGCATCAAAATGGGTACACAACAATGGGTACTTGTTGAGTTTTTCATATTCTGGGATTAATAAAATTAACTGTTCAATTCTTTTATCACCCATACGCAACGATTTTGGCCTGTTAAGAACGGAAAATCCCGTTTCGTCTAACAAAGTACTACAATATTCATATACATGTCGCTACAGGAAATACGTTTATAGTAAAAATAGTACGATTATTTCATTTATTCAAATTCCGGCAAAATACACCTAAAAAACGAGAAAATGACGGTACGTCAGGTGCACGTGCACGTGCACGATGATGAGTTGTCCGGCCTATACGTCCATCCCACTCTCCTGCTATCGCATAATTGCATACGAAAAGAGAAGGGTAATAAAATAATAAAAACTCCAATTTGCGGTCACCGGTTTTTTTGTTCTGAAAATATTTCTATTTTTTATCCTCTACATATTATTATGTACATATTTACACAAAAGGAGGATGGCAACTGGTTGTACTTTATAACATTTGCAACCAACTGAAAGTTTTATTTCATATTTTATTCTACATTTTGGTACTTATATGGATTCGGACTAGAGCAGGTGCGAATGTAGTTATTTCTTGTGTGGATCTTTGAGCTGTTATCTTTTATTGTTGCGTTGTGGCTGCGAAATATTTTATTTGTGGACTTTACTATTTTTTAAATGAAAGAAAAAACATTGTATTTAGTACTAAATTCAAGTAAATAATAGGTATTAAAATAAATATGTAGGTATTGTATTTGATTATTTGAAAATAAAAATTACATATGCGACAATGGACTTTCCGCTTACTTAGTCGTAATATAAAATATGACATATTGTTGTTGCAATGCACATACAGGCTGTTCCAATAGTGTGACAAAATTTATAATTATTTTCAGTTATAGTTGTATCTAAATGTTTAATTCGGTCTGAAAATAATGAATAATGGAAATAATAATAAAATGTGAATCCGAGCAAGTAACTTTTTTCGTATCACTACTACAGGCAGTTATACTAAACTTTATCGCACTATTGTGGCACCCTATATATGACTAGATATATCATTATGGTAAATCAAAAGCATGATAGGTGAAAATGTATAATTATGTATGTTTATAACAAATATTATCTGGTAAAATTCTTTTCTTACTTTCAGATACAGAGACAGTTAAATATGACTAGAAGAAGTTTATATGTTATTTCGTAATATACCTACAGTGGTGAAAACAACCCGCTCTATGTAGAACAAATTTAGAAAGATGAAGAATTATGGAAAAAATCAATGGCAACAAATTTGGAACAATTTTATAAAAATTGTATATTACCTGAAATAATATACAAAAATATTCCACAGGGAAAAAGATGTATGGATCCACAATATATTATAGAAGCACAAATTAATAAAAAGAAATAATTTTATTTTATGAATTTTTAAATTTTTTCCTGTTCTACTGTACCTATTCTATTTATTTCTTTATTACTTTCGTTTATTTACATATTTATTAAACTACACTGTTCCACAGAATTTCTGTTTATATTGGAGGTATTAAAGTACCTACAACTATTTTTTCAAGTGAAGTGAACTGAATATAAAAAAAAAATTTGTCTCAAATTGTCCTTTTGTACAAAATTTTTGGACAAAATAAGTATATCGTACATATTTTTTATGTTTTCTCATCGTTATGTATATTCACAGTTAAAATTCTATTTATATTAACAACACACGAATTTTTTTTATCAAGAATTACTTAATATTAATTATTAATTTTTTTTTTTTTCATTTCTGTTTATACCTACCAAGCCACTTTATTCACAAATCATAATTATAACATAACTTTCCGTTATGAACAACTTTTCTTATTAACATTTTTTTATATTATCAAAAACAAAAGCAGTTTATTCGTCAACGTTATTAATTTTGTTAAATTTCTGATCACCTTTCATATACATATATAAAATTAAAGTTCCTCATGACAACCATATTCAATTAAAAAGCAAAATATTTTTTGTCACGAATTACTTTTTCTAGTAAAATTGAAAATACAAATGTTTGTCCTCTTATCCACTTTAACCGCAGACATACTAAGGTATAGTAATTACAAATTATTGTTTTAAATAAACTACAAATTGTTTATATTTCATATTTCTTAAAATTATAAAATACTATGGATTTGCACTGTTAGTTATATGTTATATACTTTTATATAATAATATATCTGAAATGATCGTGACATTCTTTAAATATTTACATATCAATTAACGGAAACCATGACTACCAATTCAGAATCAGGTTATACCAAACTGACCACAATACAACAGTTGTTCGTTAAAAATAACCCGAGTCCATTCATAAATTAATTTTTACTAGTGCGACATCTATTACAAATCAAGCGAATTAAAGGTCAGACATAATGTGATTTATGAATGAATAATTTTTAATAATTTTATTCCAATATAACTTTTTAAATAATAAAGTGTTAAACAAACTATCAAATAAAGTCTAATCAGTTTATTTATTAAAAGACAACTATATAAAAAATTACATAATTCTGTAATACTATGAAGAAATAATCGTTTGTTTCTAAAAGTCCAAAAAACCTTCATATTTAGAAATTAATTTCTCACGAATTATCTACCTATTTCAATTAAATTTTGCTTTACTGTCTTCGTTTATACTTTGCCAAATGTGATATGAAATTTTACTACTTTCTTTCATTGCTTTAAAAAGTTATATTGGAATAAAAAAAGGGCTGTTTTCTACTACTTTTCGGTATAATTTAGGCAACCAGGGATGCATCAGTTTCCATCCTTAACAAAAACTGTTATATTCAAAAGTTGTTGTTTTCTCAGTGTAGGAGGCGGCGCATCTGGAACCGTGCAGTACACTTAATGACAGCAATAACTCTATATTTCCTTCATCATCCCCAATGCTCCCCGTCTGCCGCCGTCCCAAAAGGTTCAACGATCATATTTTTCCCTTTCCCGCTTTCATACACATATTATACGCCACATTTTGATATATTCAATTTGATAAATTCGTTTTTGTCGTTCGTGAGTGATCGATCAATCTATCAACTGTCACATCAATCTCCATCATTCTTCATAATTGTCGCTGGTCTAACAACGACACATTGTTTGATACCGAGTTATTTTTTTCGTCCGGGTTGATAGGCGTGTTTACTCTTTCTTGCGAGGGGGTAAAGTATATTAATCGCGTCGAGGCGACGTTATTTTAGCTCGCTAATGGATACGTCAACCAGTTATGACTCTAAAAAGAACTAGTTGGAAAACAATTATTTTTGCTTTTAGCATAAGAAGTGTCGCTTTCGTATTCAAGAATATTTTGAAGCAATTCTTGTCCTAGGAGATAATTTGTGCTAAACATATTCTTGCACTCACAACAAAGCAGTGAAACTACAAGTCAGTTTTTAATTGCTCTCAAAGAAGACAAGGCATTTGTACCTGGTATATCACAAAATACTAACACTTTTAGATAATATATATGTCTAGCATTAAATGAAACTTACAATCAAGCTCAATGCGTGGAAATGATTGAAGCTAACTATCAGGGATATTAGTCAAATTCATTTCTAAACTCTATACAAAAAAATTATATGATGGAACAGTAAATGAAAAGAATATTTATAAAAATAAAGCTACTGGACTCAAATCAAATCACTCATATTCCTAATAAAAAATTCAGAAGTTTTGAAAGCCGCACCCACTACATTGTTATAGGCGAGCGGTTCACCCCTTAAAAAAACATGAACCGACTAAATTTTTAAAACAAAAACCTACAGCATGAGACTTTTTTATTTTATAAAGTATATTTTCCTGATAATTTACATATTTTTTTTATATTTTTCGGCGTGGTCAGTCAATTGTTATAAACAAAAAAGTTGTAAAAAAAATTACTCGCCGAATGGCTTTTTTTATTGTAAAATGGACCAAAATAAACACTTTTTGTTCGATTTACGATTTAAAAAGCTTATTTAGTTTAGTTTTGGTATAACTTTCAAGTCAATTTTAGCCATTTATAAAACCAAAAATTGAATATTTAAATTTTACTACTTGCAAAAACCTTACTCCGGCTACAAAACCAAACAAAATGATCGTTTGAACATTTGTACTGTTAGCATACATCGATTAAAAGCAATATTTTTGCTAG